TAAGCTGGCTAGCATTTTAGAAGGTTGCGTGGCACATCGTACCCATTTGTGATTTGGTGCTGATGAGTGACAGAGAGCCTTCATCGAGGTGCGTCCAGTAAAACTAATGAAGTCAGCATAAATGTCGAAAACTTATGGAACTATTTATTACTGGGATTTATTTATCGCAGTGGTGGCTCTAAGACCCGGCCAGCCAGAAGCGTAAACCCAAAGGGTTTGTCGTTAGTATACACTCTTCTGATAGTCTGCTACGTTCAGCAGAATCTGATCGATTTTCCCTAATAGAAGAGGCTATGTTATACGATATAGCAATCAAAAAAGAGCAATGAAAATCTCTATTCCCCGTAACTTCGTCGGTTTTTTCATCTTTTCCACTCGTACTGAAAATGAAAAAAAGAAATCGTAGTCGCATGCCGAAATACACTCGTACATGCGTAAGTACAAAATGGGCAAAGAATGAAAAACTTTCGCATACATGCGTTTGTTCACATGTGATAGTGTAAGAACAGTTTTCGCACGATTAACTATCCGAGGTTACTTTCTCGATAAAATAAATAGCATACATACAAAAATGAAAAAGTTATGAAAACAATCTTTGTTTCTGGTTTTATGGCACAATAATGCCAATATCAATGCTGATTTTATCGTGATTTTCGTTCTTATTGATGATATAGTACTTAGATGTACGATGAAGGACTTTGAAGAGTCAGTCGTATGCAAAGACATGTGTACTGTACCTTGATTCAGGTTAAACGAAAATATCAGTTAATTACGATCGAGTTGAAACAGGCTTAACTGAACGCACAACGCTTGTAAGCCTATTTTTGTAGATTTACATTCATCAAAGAAGACAGAAGATCCACGAATTCTCCAGGAAGCCGAGGTGTCGTTTACTATGCGCGCTGTACTGCGGTGAGTCAGAAAATGGTCTGCATTGCGTTGTGAATACTGAGAGCATCAATCCACTGTGAAACCTTCGAAGCTGAGATGGAAGCTTTCAACTGTCGGTGAAATCGTTCTACCAGCCAGTTGCTTGTGTGTGATAGATGGTTGATCGGAATCGTGTGATTGCTTGCAGTTTAGTAAGATAGTAGGAACTTTTAGATCTAAGCGGTCCTTAATAGTCTGTGGTGGTAGTTGAAGAGTAGCCGAAGTTTACTACACATTGTTCGACGGAGATGCGAGCCATTAGTTTATCAGTAGTGTCCTTCATGAGTACTACTACTGGTCATCGTATGAAACGGTCTACACACGTTAAAAGTTAAGAGTATCTATTTGAATCTGGAAAGGGTCCTACTAAATGCAGATGAACATGATCAAAACAAGCGTCGGGAGGTTTGGACGAGCGTAGGGGGCATTCTATGTGTCCAATCATCTTAAATTTCCAGCAGCCTACAAAGGAACGTGCCCCCACATCTTTATTCATTCTAGATCAACAAAATCATTCTACGACGAGCCTTATGGTCGCTCGAACACCTGGGTCAGGCTTGTGCAACGCATTGAAGACGTTGCGTCGACAATGTTTCGGCACGATTGAGCGATCCCTACTTGTGTATGTGTCACATGGTGAATTTTCCTAACCCTTCCCCATCTGCTTGATGTACAGTCATACCTTAATTCCTTTATGTCACGTCCAGGTTTTTGCTCTCTTCCGTTATTGAAGCATTTTACGTCGATCTAAAGCAACTTACGAAACCAAATGGACTACAGAATCAAACTTCAGTTTGGACACCAAATTTTATTCGATATCGAATCACCATATGGTGATTCAAGATAAATTCCGGAGGTGCAAGGCAAAGTCAGATGCTCTACAGGTGTTTTCCGTGGTGTACCACGAAGATGCCGAAAAAGAGGGGAAAAGGTGTGGGCAAGAAGCAGGACAGGCAGTATTCATGACTAGTGAACTTGAGTCATTTGTGATGGAACAGTTAAGGCATGACCACTTAGATTCACTCTCGTTTATTAGGTCCGTTTCTAAACTAGTATATTTCATCATTGTAAAGTGATTAAGCCACAGTATGGCGTTGAATGAATAAAGGATTGTACAAATGGATTTAGTGTAGGAGGACTGAAAGTTTGGGTAATATGTGTATTTTTAAAGTTTAGTAAGGAAAATACAGTGTTCGAATACGAACTGCCTTTTTTGTCAAAATTATTATAACTTCTTTTCATTGTTAAAACCTTTGTAGAGCCAGGGGCGAACTCCTGCTTAGCATAATTGTCTAGTGTTGCATGCAATACGATTTCTTGGTAGGAAGTGAATGCAGTCCAAGGTTGTAGACATGAGTCAACGAAATGCCACTAAAATCCCTCCAGCTATGTGAAGGAATCTCTGGATACATTCAGTTATGACTCTCCTAGCTAATGTCTTTATGTCATTAGGCAGCACAGGACTTACAACAGCACGCCTGCAAAGCTAGCATACAATCGGCACCTTCCATAAGACAAACCATACTTGGCCTCCCTATACTCCTTCAGCACTCAGACTAGTAAGCCACATCTGACTCATCAAATGTCAGACAGCTTACACTTAAGATCTTGCCTTGGTGATGGTAGAACCTGATGGTTATAAAGGCCACATATCTCCTGAGCCATGCAACTGGTTTGTTCAGCTTTATCTAATTCAAGCAGTAAAATGTAATTGGATGGAAGTAATGTTTTGCTATGCTTGTGTTGAGTATGTGAGCTCTTTTAAACTCAATATTCTCCGTGGGTTTTTCCTAAATAGGCTTCGGTAGTTTTACGAACTCCCCATTCCTTAAGAATGAAAGAGCTTCAATTCAGGTTATTAAATCTAATCAGTTTCGTATAGTTCGTGAAGTCCAGTCATTAGGATTTTCATTCGTTCCATGGTACCCCTACTGGCCCACAGAAGTTATCATACGAATAACTGCGAGACGAATAGCCACAAAGGTGGAATACCAGCTCTGTATTCCTCACATAGTACAGAACTATCTCAGAATCCGTTCAAAAGTGAGCCTTGTCAAACATGTGTGGAAGATTTCTGTTCATATCTTTACCCAATCGGGTACCCAGTACTCCCGGGTCAAATCCAAATTTGAAAACATCGTGTATGATGGCTCACTCAGTCCCAAGGGCCCGGCAAACGAACCCTAGATTAGAAGACGTATTAACTTGTAAGAAGTAATTTCCTACAGATTCGATTCTAAACTATTCTCTAGACTGTAAAGCATAGTCTTAACTTAGCTAACGTCAGAACAAGTAAGCTATTTGGCTTCATAAACTTTGTCTATTTCCAAAACGTAAATTAACACAGTTAAGATACAAAACAAACAATTAATATAGTCTGCTAAACAGGGAAAAAGAAGACATAAATAACATACCGAACAGTAACTAGAAGACAGGGAAGAACTGTCAATCATTCATGAATTGTAGTACGAACTAAGAATCCCAGAAATAACGCAATTGGATCAAGAAGTACAAGATAAACACAAACAAATGTAATGTATAAGGAATCCGATATCAAGCATTCAACAAGTACAAAGGAGTCATTACTTCATACAAACTCCACAAGAATTCTGGTAGGCGGCCTCCTCTCGTCCACGAGGAGTAACAGGTGTAAGTATGTAGCTTATGGTTCTAAGCAACGGATAAGTGTTCCAGGCGAAACTAGGTTCACTTCCTTCAAACTGTATATTGCAACTATAGTAGAGGATAAACTTGATCTATGTAACTGTAGGGATGTAAGTAGTTAGATAAAACCTATATCTATAAACGATCTTGGTCTAAATTCAAATTGTCAATATTTCATTCACGTATTCCTTTTCAAAGACATATACGAAGCAAAGTATGAAGAATACATTTATGATGAAATTAGATAAAGTAATATGATGTCGGTCTCTTAGCAAAACAGTTTCTTGGTCTACATACTCATTAGAACTTAAGGACATTGTATCAAATAAATGTGTCATTGTTATCACGCAAATTACTTGACATTAACTTGGATAGTTAATCAGCAATATGTATTCCCATCCGCGTTTGAATACGTACACATATGTTGCTGACTTTTGTAATTTTTTTAATTGGTTGTAAATCTATTTAATCAAAAAGTCATGATTCAATCTCTCCCTTTTACTGGTTTTTCTGATATACGCTTGGTATGGCGAGCTCGTTTGCTTGAAATAAGTCAGTCAAAATATAACCTCATGTTTGGTATTTGCATATCCTACGCTAGAAATAAACCCATTTATATACGAATTTAATCAGGACTAATTATAGTCGGAGTCAGAAGTACCCTTTATACAACCTAGCACTAAAGAGAGATTATTTAGAAAATAAGTGATTCTGCATGAATTGTTGAAAATGATATGTGATAGTTTTAAAAGACAAAGAATTTTTAACGGAATAAGAGCAAAATACGGTCATCAGGATATGTATTAAAAAAATATCCGTCTGATAATTTAACCTTATCAGAAGGTGATGTTGATAAATTCATCCTTATCTTAAAAATACTAGACTCGAATTTTAACAACGTCGATTTGACCGGTAACAAACTTACTTTGTTATAAACTAGTTTGATGGCAAGCAACAAAGCAATAACTTATCCCTAGCATACACAAAACTATAATGATTCATAAACTGATCTCCTTTCAATTCTTTAAGTATATAGACATGAAAACTTTATTGACTTAATTTATTAAAAATTCAGTCCTACACCAATGAAGATCCCGTGTTCACCTATGAATATTGATGTATTTACCATAAACTCAGAGGCTAGTAAAATGAAACAATCAATTAACAATGCACATTTTATATAAACTTTATAAATAATCCGTAAATAATTTGTGTAAATATCCATTAAGTAATACATTATTCGAGTAAAGTATATTCATATGATAATAAGATAATATAATACTGTGTTAAAAAGTCAATATAATTTTTATGATGAACATAAAAAACATTGAGACTATATAAAAAATAAATTCAGAAAATTAAAAAAATAAAAGAAAACTAGATTATTTTTTTGATTATATTGTAGCTATTAATTAATTGTTTTGTGAATGATGCTGTTTTAAAAGACTTTTAGCAATATATGATATTGGATCAATTGGTCTTTTATCCACAACATCAAACATGGCCTTCTTCATCATTTCAGCTGTACACAATTTAAAAAGAAAAAAACAACAACAGTTGAATATGTTTATTGAAATACTTTTAAGAGAGGATAGTATTTAAATAAACATATAAAAACATTTGAAAATCTATTCATCTGTGGATAAAAGTATAACCAAGAATTAAATGTATTATTATCATTATTATTATTAATGACTTTACTCAATATAATATGTTTCGTATGATAAAGAATTCTTAATATAACCTTTGGTTGAAGATAATGAGAATGATATTAAACAAGTGAAAATCGGTTAAACTGGACAGCTATTTAGTCCTAGTTTAAAAAATTCAATGCTGTATAATACAACTCCTTACGGAATGAAACTCAGAACCATCAGGTCTTTCGATGAGTACGGTAGATTTTGACTAATCAGTTCGAAACTATTAGCTCCAGTTCCATTATTGATATTCTATAAAAAATTGATCTTGGACTAAATCAACAGCAAAGAAAATATTACTCAAACTAATAGATATAAATAATCGAGGAACTATTTCGAATTTGTTTCTGATGCAGTAGGAAGATTTTCCAGGAGGAACAGGGATGAAGAGAGTTAGAAAGAATGAAATCAAAAATGGGAAAAATAATAACAACAATGGAGAAATGAGCTTGCAGAGAGAAAACATGAGAACAACACAAAAATTCAGGGAATAATATGATGAAGATAAAATATAAATGTACTCCATCAACTGAGATCAATTTTAGTGATGCTACCTAGACTCCAACCGTCACTGATGCATTACAATCAAAAAATGATCAACTCAAACAAGGCACGCACTAACAGTTAAAGCAACAATTGTAGGAGAGATCAAGTATATGACACTGAATTGTTGAATAAATCTTTTAATTTAATTAGTAATCCTTAAGATAAGGAACCAATTATAGCTGTACATTCTTCATCGTTACGATTTATATATGCTTTAATGAATGTAACAAATCCAAATATCGAGAAGCCAAAATCACTCTATTTAACAGGGAATCAACCTTTCAATACATCATTTCATAGTACGAAATCATAATCTCGCAAATAGTTGAATTAAATATACATTTAGAAAGCTTATCGAAAGCATTCAGGAAGTGTGGTGTATATGTGGAAAATGTTTTGAAAAATCTGACCACATATACTTACCAAGGCATCTTTATAATACTAAGGAAGGTTATATAAATACAAGTTGATAATTTAAAACATAAAAGAGGGGTTATTGAAAGGACAGAAAGTTATTATATCGCTATTATTAAGACAGAATATCAGAGCACATTCATAGTGAGAAAATTATCTAGTAATCAGGGTTGCAAAGACCTAAGAATAAGGACTTGACACTTTCTGATAAAGGTATAGAAACTGTTTGAGGTCATCTTAATTCAATGATGTCTCTTATTATTTAAACAGTGCTTACAGTGCACACATCATACAACATTTAAACTACCAATAGTGCTTTTTTTGAAAGATTAACCCAGGAACTTACTTAAACCCGATTCTTCAAAATAATCCAACATTTTCATCTTCTTCTCATCTTCAGTCAGTTTATCAAGTGAACCATCTATCCAGTCTACCTCTTCATCAATTTGTTCTATTCATAAAACGATAAACATCACAAGAAAGATCAATAAGAAGGATCATGTAAAAAATACATCATTTGGTGTTTGAGGTATGAAAGCTAAAGAAAGATATTGTGAGAAAATAACAGGTTTTCGATTCCGGTAAATCAGTCAGTCAGTCAGCTACAACGTAGGACCAGGTACATATATGCATCGGTCCAGGTTGCCATACCTCATTAGCACAGCAAGATGAACACCGGATTCATAGGAGTGGTTAGGTCAAAGGTGGTAATATATAGGAGAAAGATTGCATATAAGGATACAGTACAGGAAGAAAGAAGTAGTTAGTAGAAAGAAAGATATGAAGTGATTTTAATCTCTTAGTTTAAGGGAAGACAGGGAGTGTATTCCGGTAAATAATAACAGTTGATACCCACTGTACAAGAGATGGGCATCATTATTTTTTTAACTCTGTTATTAAGTTCAGTGGATAATGCATTATGAGTTACGGCGTCAACATACTCAGCCATTCGGATACAGACATACTAAACATGCCAAAAATAGGATATGAAGTACCATGAAATCTATTAGTAGTCCTCAGGTATTTAGTCTAAGGTATAAGAATAAGGGTAGATAAACTAGAACAGAGAATATTAGTTCACAAAGGATTATTATGCTTTTCAATCGAGTTATAGAATAACTTTTCTAATCAGGATTATGTTTAAAACGGATTATAATTAAATAAATATAAGAGAAGATCTTATGAATTTACTAAAGAATTCAAAATTAGCGTAACTTTGAATAAACATGGTCTTTATTTAAGCGTTATTTTTGTGTTATCTTGATATCTTCATATTATATGAAGTGTTTAATATGCTTAATAGAATTTTAAACTATACATAAATTTCATCTCAGTCACAATGTATATTTAAACTTTCATTTTTTAATCCCAAATCCAGTTTGTCTTGAAGGTTCTATGTGTAATGCAGATAATCAGGAAACAATGTCTTTATGATATGAATACCATGATGTGACAGTCGGTTTTTGACACGACAACTTAATAAGTCATGCTACCATTTATACTGCTAGTATGAAGTCTTCATTGATTATGAGAAAAATGTTGCGAACAAATGGTTATCACTTTCATTATGACTAGATATATAGATTATGAAACGTATTTCTCTTTGGTAAACTGTTATTGATATCTTTTAACTTAGCAAATATTATAATAGTGAAATTCATTCGGAGATCATTATATATGATTTTTATAACCAAAACGCTAATATCTAGTTGTTATAACTGTAGTGAATAAGTAATGTACAAGAAGGATGTGAAATTATTAAGTGATGGGTTTTGTAGGGATTCGTCACAAACCAATATCAAGCGAAGAATCAACGTAAAACCAGAGAGCATTGGATACCAATCATGTTATATTAAAAATCGACTGAAGTTGGAATTTCAAACTATCGAATTAAATACTACTCGGTGACTTGGAGGTACCATGCTCACTGTGGAACCTAAAGGTTTCATGTTAGTACCATTGAAGAATCCAAACTAGAATAAAATACCTACTTGGTTCCAAATAGTTTCCAATACTTTTCCAAATGATTTCATTTTAAGAAGCTAAAAATCATCTTCAAAAGAAATATTGCACAGAACTTCAATTTTGCTTACCATATATTTGGTCTTCCGTGTTCACAGACTCCAATAACCCTAGATTATATTCTCCATCTTGATGTAGACCCAAATCAAATCCCCTAAGGTATTCATTTGGTGTGACTGCAATCAACGTTTTCGTATCTCTAGATAACCATAGCATATATGGCTCATTTTCAAACATGTATTCTGTTACAGGATTCAACTGTATATCGCTTATTACGCCTTTTGGTAAGGATGACAATGGTGATGATACTTCTGTTTGTGCTGTTGATATTTCATAAGCGACCAAACATCTAGCTGGTGATGCACCATAATCAGTTTCTGAATCATCGGAATCGTAACTCTCAGAGGATGATTCGCCATCCAGATCTAAATGAATTCTCTGTTCAGGATGATGTCTTTTACCAATCAGTAACTTTCCATCTGACGCTAACACAATCGACTGAACAAATATATTCTCTTCATTTGATGATTTACTGACAATAATATTTCCAAGTTGTTTATCTGTTACCAGATCTCCAAAGGCTTGTTCAGTATTCAAAAAGTTAATTGTCTCATCATTATCATTAACGCTTTCAGTTGACAAATTGAAATGACCAGAATTCATTTTCTGTAGAAATTTATCAATCTCACTAGTTTCTGATCCATATTTTCGATTTCCAGTTACAATATTATACATGTTTAATCGATAATTAATGGCCGTCATACCATCTGGGAATAATATTAAATTCGGACCATAATCAAGTAGAATTGTGTGTAATACCTGTGGGTAATTATCGATATTCTTATCCATACATCCATCTTCATGTGGATACCCGAGGTCTACAATCACAATAACACCTAACCAAACAACTGTTCTCCCATCACAACGAGTCACAGGATATAATGTTTTATGTGATTCATTCAAACCAATAATTATATGGTTAGGATAACTCGGTCGGTATGTTAATAGATTCAAAGAAATTATCTGTAAATCACGTTTATCTAATAGAATTTTACCAGCCGTTTTGGTTAACTGGTAGGCTTGAATTAAATTGATCTCTCGAGGTTGTTCACCCCATAAACTTTTAAATTCGTACATGTTATTGTGCATATCAACGGAAGATATTAAAACTTTAACTAATAACGAAGGTGCTTCGTCATCGAATGAAGGTTTTATCAATGTTAGCATTCCATACTTAGACTGAATTAAACCAAAACTACTAATAAAACCGTTAGATGTAGGCACATAAAGATTAGGTAGATAATCTTTCATATGAATAGGATCTAGATAAGTGTAACTATCTAACAGCTGATTTTGATTAAATATTGTTAATGTATTAATTTTTGTAGCTGTTTTATGAAGAAAAACTGAAATATCATGAGTATAACTAAGGCATTTATCACCAGTACCCATACTCTTTATATCAGTTGTAGTAGTAGCCCAGTCTACAAGTTGTTGTGTTGTTAAAAAGGTATCTATTGATTTTGCGTTGACTTCATTATCAGACCAGGAATAGATTGGATTAGTAGAATCTTCATCTAGGTCATATAATATTAAGTTGTCCACATTATTTCGTTCTTCTTTTCTTTGAGTGACCAAAACAAGCGTTGATAAACAATCTTCATAAACATATTCGATAGACATATTAGCTGACCAATAAACCAACGGACCACCAGTTGCGATTTCTTCAATATTCAGATTTGTATTCTGATTATCGTCTGCATAAAAAAGTTGACTACCCAATACGGCTAATTGTTTGTCTGGTTTACGCAAAGACTTGACATTGAATATTTTGCACATGATAAACATTGCTTGGTCAGGTGATTCACTGTATTGTGGTGTGGTTGTATCTGGGAAATGACATATCACAAGTACAGAACCAGCCATCGATGAATTCGTTGTTCCTTTTATTGAAGTTGTTGTGGTCATTCCAAGGTCTGTGTCCAGACTAGGTGCTGACAAACCTGAAAGAATGCCTTCTGCACAACCTTGTGCTATAATTTTTAATATATGCCCAGTCATAGTGCTCCAAACTAGTAGAAAACATTCTCTTCCAGTAGTGAACAGAAGATCATTCTCATAACTAAATATAGCTGAAACACCTTTACCGAATGAAGATGTGTAACTGAAATGTAAGAAAATCCCAGCTTATGTAAGGAGGATAAAGTAATGAATCTTCTATTTTAAAAAAACTTACGCAAAAGGAACAATTAGTGATGAAATCACTTTGAATTTTTTGTTTAATTACACACTACAATCATCGTGAGCTGAAATTGATCGGTAGTTTGGAATACGAAGAAATTTACTTTAGGTTAAACAAAACACAGAAGTAAGAGACGTTATTAGACTAGACAATGAAAAATATGAGGAAACACTAGTTGGATTTTAATGTCTTTTAATCACGTTGTTTGGAGATAGATGTGAGTAATTCGGAGTAATTTACTAGTTTTTGATATCATTAACTGGAAATTCAACAAAAGAGCTTGAATCTAAACATCCCATGAGTTAACAAATTTAGCAATCAGCGACGGTGATTTTATATTATGTTTTCTGATATAACAGTATCACATAATGAGGTCCTGAGAAAACTATTTTGATAAGATTAATAGGTGTGCGTTATCAACTGTAATTGAAATTTCAAGTTTAATATACAACACAATACCTATGGTTTAAGCTTTAACTCAAATCGCCAAGTGCGAAAGTCTCTTCTGTTAGGTCAAAGATAGAGAAACAGCCTTTAAAACAAATGCGCTTTTTTTACCTAAGAGAAGAGTTTACTGTGACCTAACTAATATGAATCTTTTGAAATCCCCATCTGATTTTAAAATATTAAAAATTCCCGTGTAAATTAGAACATAACTGGAAACAATGCTGTTCTCTTTTCATCGATTGTTCTAATTTGTATTATCATCATTAGGACAGTAGGAAATTAAACATCTAATTATTTAAATTAATCAAAAACTCGGCATTTTGTTTCATACATAAAAAACAATGGAAGAATACGGTAACTATGACAAATACAGCACCAGAATCAAGAAATTCCTAACCAAACTAGTATTCAAACTGTCCTCAGTCTGGGTCACCTGACCTAGACAGATCATTCATTTGCACATTAGTGTAAAAGCCTGATGACCTCATCTTTCAAAAGTACATAGTATGAAATTAAAATGAATATAGGTATCTGGCACGTGGTTAAAAGTTATCCAAGGTCATCGATAAAAGTCGAGGTTATTGCTTTTATTTCTGACCCTCTACCCTATATAAGGATCATCAGACCTTGACCTCCATTCTACTTTAATCAATACTTAATGACTCCCTGAAAATATCGTCACCTGTCAATACTCTAAATTTTAGATTATGAGACTTACATGATAAAATTCATCTGCTTACTGAAAACGTAAATTGAAAAATTTCAATCATTGTAGTTGATTATTTTCTTATTTCAATGACTAATTTATAAATTTCATCTCACAACGATTATAGACAAAAGAAAATAGGTCAGGATAGATTTGAACACGAAGAGTTCGAATATAATAGAATAAGAAATATACTTTTTCGCTCCAGTGTTGGGTCTTTGCTACCATAAATATTCCAGAATACTATTTTACATATGATAGATTATGACAATATACTATTCAATCTCTTAACTTTACACAAATCTTTGCTATGTTGTTTAGATACATTAAATTAATAAAGTTGACTGTCTGTGAAAATCACTTTCTTTTTTTATTACCTTGTCAACTCTCTGAGGTAATATTACGATTTTAACAATGTTAAAGTATTAAATAAATAGAAATTGTCGTCTAAATTTGATCGAATAGTTTCATTGTATTTGGGCGCCGAGTTGATGTTAGACATTAAAGAGGAAGAATGTATTTGTAAAATCTCAGCGAATGAATTTGAAGTAGATCCAACGTTTTGCCTGGCAATCTGGTCCAAGCTTTTTCAAGGAAATATAATCAAACATCAAAATTATCGAAATGCTTTAATTTTTACAAAGAAAAAACTAACAGCCGAAGCCCTACACAATTAGATTTCCCATGGCAACTAATGATTAATAAGTAAACCTGAACTTCTTATTCAATTTTATCTGTCTCGTATCATCTAAATAACAGAAATTGCATTCAACGGTTCTAATCAGTTATCTTATCTGAATATGTCAAACAATTAACTGGAATATTAAAACAACACAAACATTCGGTTACAAAACTTCCCTTGTTTATTTATTTTCATTTTATGTATTCTGTGACATTTTTGATTCATATCTTTTATCAGAATTATAAAATTATAGTTTCTTAAAATACACCGACCACAGAGAACAATATATAGTGAATGAAATTTGTTCTTAATTACATATATACACAATCGGTTATCATAACACTTTTCGTTTCACAACATATCTCTTATACACTAATGCAAATACCTACTTTAAACATTGTTAACATTGATTGGATGACCTATTCAGTATAAAGTGAACCATGTACCTATTTATACTCCATAATTTTGATGTTTGATTATATTTCCTTGAAAAGGTTTGAACCAGATTGCAAAGTGAAACGCTGGATTTGCTTCAAATTCTTTCGTTGAAATTTTACAAATACTCGTAAGCTACTAGTATTGGACTACAGATGCCTTGGGAATATAGCTCGCACCTGCTGAGACCACCGGGTAAGTAATAGTGAGGTTAGACTCTGGGTATTAAGGAATGATGGTAAATCAGCTGATGAGGTTGCAAATCTTCATCGAATGAGATGGTTGGGCCACGTGTTACGTATGCCTAAACACCGTTTACCACGACGTGCAATGCTGACTAGTGTCGGAGACGGCTGGAGGAATGTTAGGGGAGGCCAAACCAAAACGTTAGATCAGTGCTTGAAGTCACTAACTTCTGGTCTGAACCATGTTGATAGATGTAGACAACTTGGTTGGGGTCCGCGTGACTATCGTAACCAATGATTGGAGACTCTTGGTGACATGGCTCAGAATCCATCACAATGGCGTCGGTGTATACACTCTCTGTCTTCCCTTAAACTATGAGATTAAAATAGCTTCATATCTTTCTACGTACTAATTCTTTCTTGCTGTACTAAATCCTTATATGCAATCTTTCTTTTATATATTACCACCATTGAATTAACTACTTCTATGAATCCGATGTTCATCTTGCTTTACTAATGAGGTATGGCAACTTGGACCGATGCATATATGTACCTGGTCTTACGTTGTAGCTGACTGACTGATAAATACATTCTTCCTTTTTAATGTTTAAGTACTACTGAAATTTTTTTTTGCCTATTGAATTAATTATCAATTATGAGATGGTACAGTAGATTTGTTGCTCAGGTGGATGATTTTGATGGAGTTTTGTTCTCTAAACCATCCAGCTCAGAGAACAAAACTCCATCAAAATTACCAATTATTTATAATCATCAAAATTAATTAATTTAAATAATAATTACTTACTTTAACATTTCTTTTGTTAAATTCACTTCATCATTACTTAAATTATCTTGTTGAACATTAAATGGTAATTGTAAATGAATACAAGTTTCATATCTTTGATCCCATATAATACCAAAATCTTCAGCAGTTTTACGACGTGTATTAAATAAATATACAATTAAATTATCTGTATAACTTAAATGTGTTGAACAATTAAAAAATCGATTCACTTGAACTATTTGTAAACTAATTGTATTCTTTAAATAACTTTCATAGATAATAAGTCCATGAAAATTGATACCATTGATACCATTTAAAAAAGATGTATTTTTATGATTATCATCATCATTTAAATGATCATTTTTGATTTGATTCATTTCATAAAATTTTAATTCACATTCATGATGATTTGTAAAACAAAAACATATAATACTATTTGATTGTAATTTAATTGTACTATGAATTGTTAAATCATTTGGAATAGATATAAATACTACACTATGTTCTTTTGTATCAATTAGAAATGCACCAAAATCAGTTAAAGTAAAACTAATTATATTTAATACATTTGAATGATAAAATGAATGACTTTCAATTGTATAACCATTAATAATCATTTGTTTTTTAGGTAAATAACCTAAATAAAATGTTGTATCAACTAATGATCCAATCCATTGATTCGTTAATAATATAAGTGAAGGCATACTAAATATATCAGACCATGGTTCATCTAATATAGATAAAGTTGTTACACGACCAGAGAAATAATCAATTTTTGCAACTGAAATTAAACGATTATCTTTATATTTTATATCTTCAGAATGACGATTAGTATTATTAAGTTCTGGTGATTTATTGACTGGTAATGCACATATTGATATAGGATCTGGAGCACCATGTGAAGCTAATAAAAATTTCATTGAAAATAAATTAACTTCAGGTAGACTTATAGTTTTTACCAAGTTACCATCTAAATCATACCAACTAACTGATTTACCATTTAAAGCAACTGCTAAAATTAAATTATTAGACATTAAACGTCCAATACCTAGTCCAATATCAAATGTTGTATGTAATAAACCGCTGCCTGAATCAAAACATGTTGTACGTGGTAGTAAAGCGCATTGTTTGCAACCAAGATATCTTGATTGAACTAAGAGTTTTTCTAATAAATCTCTGTAAATATTTACAGGTTTTTCTGTTTCAGCCACTCGACGTCTATGAATTAATTCACGTTTTGGATTTAACATAGACACACTACGACGAGACCCTGAAGAGGTATATGTTGATAAACGCCTGCGCGTACGATGTAAATATGATGGTGGTTGATAAATTTTTGTTAGACGTCCTAAAATATCAATAGGTAAACTAGATGGTTGATAGTCTAAACTTAGAGCAGCAATACGTATACAATTGTATACTTTGAAAGCTTCTGGTGGAGGAGGTCTTAAATAAGCCGGCGACTGCATGTCGGTATTATAAACTGCAGAAAGGTTATTAGCATTGGTTGTTGTATCAGACGCAGGTAGTAGTGATGAGTGATTGGTGAATAGTGCAGAATTCAATCCACCTAGCTTGGCCCGAATATCATTTGTAGACAATCGACCTAGTTGAGTGCATGAAGAAAGAAGTTGTTCAATTTGTAATATACGATATGCTTCTATTGGAAGTTGTAGATCCATGAGTAATTGAGACCTATTTTTAAAAAAAATACAAATTTATGACAATTCATTTCGTAGCAAAGATAATAATTACAATTTATTTAAACCCATAAAAGATTATTTTCGAAAATGAATTTAAGAAAGATTGACTGTAATAATAGTTAAGTATTTCTTTTTCAATGATAAGCAATTAAATTTATACGGACACGAGCAATAGAACTTGGAGGTTTTGTTTTCATTTCATGCCAAGACTGTCTGAAGGCACAATTGATGAGTCTCAAACCGGAACGGGACAAATTTCCAATACTTTACTTTTCTTAATAATTACTCGGTTTGTATAATTTCCTGACGAAAATCAATTTAAACTTGAGCTAACCCCAATAAAACCCATTAATTATAAAATAGAATAGTTCTTACCTAGAAGTACCACGTAATTTGTTGTATAAAAATTCGTAATTAAACATTATCTCTGAGTAAAATTCTTCAAATCGACCTGAATGACATAAATGCCATGGCAGCTCATTTAATTTTCTTAAATTTAAGAGCAGTTTCTTCTTGCCACTTATTTGAGATTCCTCGAATACATATGGTTGTGGTGGCACCATTCTATCTTCATTACTAGATGGTGGAAGTTTCTGAAATGAAAGAAATAATCCCAAACAACAAAAATTATGTAATATGACAATAGTACCCCTTCATTCTTCACCAAAATAAAATTATGCCTCAACAATTTAAAATATAAAATCAAAATTAACAATTTCTTGACAATGGTATTAATTAAATATTGAGTAGTCATTTAAGAATGAAGTCGAATATCTGTTGAAAATCTCAACTTACAGCTGAGTGATTATAGATTCATAGGTCGCTTCGCCTATTTTAGTTTTTTGAACCAAGTAGTATTATTAACTCTCATAAACTAAAAATGTAGCTAAAAACCGTGTACATGGACTATTTACTTGATAAATAATTTACACGATTGTTTTTTTATTCGTACAGATTGATTAAGATAATTCTTTTCATATACCTCTAACGTATTAAATCTTACTAGATCATAAAAACCTGTTTCCACATAAACAAGTTATACTTATTTAATTTACTAATGTAATACAATTTGTTTCAGAACTCAATCATTCATTTTCTTTCGAATAAAGTATAAAAGCAGTTTTCAGCGTAGGAGAATATTGATTGAAGTATAGGTCAGAAGTAACGAGCACGAAACAATCGTACATTTATTATGTAGGAATTTTCTAATAACATTTACTTAAGTAACTACAATTCAAGGGATAAGAAAATCACAATCGGCTATCACAGTTTGAGTGGTTAGTTTCAAGAAATATGTAAATTAAAAAAATATGTTCAGCTTTCATAGTAGATTCCTAGTTATTATATTCAGCTTGTTTAGGTACGAATGTCTTGATATCCAGCTAGACTTTAGAAAATTGCTTGTCTAGGATGATTCAAATGGTGGAGGGTTAAACCGATACTAGGAAAAATAGTTTCAATCTCTAGTAAACTAACCAATTATTTATTCATATAGAAATATACATCATCTTTAGATACTAGTTACTGACTAATTATCCTAAAGCATTGAAAACTACTTCATTTCCAATTGAAGCTGGTCCTAATGAAGAACTACAACTTAGGGCAAAACCATAATCATACAAAAACATATTTATTTGATAGATAATTCCTATTTAAACATTAAAATTATAACACGAAGTTCAGCGAAGGGATCTCTTTTCAACGAATTTATTATCAAGCTGTACAATCGTATATATATGAAAATTTTTTTTGTTTTTTTGTAAAAGTACTAATTCCGTGAGGAAACGTGAACACAATTAACCATGACGTAATAGAAAGATTATAATACTAGATTGCGTAATACGAATAATAACAGTAGATTTGGTGAATAAGTACTTTTACAAAAAATTTTCATACATATACGATTGTACAACTTGATAATAAATTCGTTGAAAAGAGATCCCTTTGCTGAACTTCGTGTTTTACATATTTATTTACTTATTTATGTGTTGGAGATAGTGGGGGAAATAAACAGATACCTGTTAATGCAACTAGACATCTCAGGAGTCCTCCCTATTTTACATAACTGTCGAGAGTAGTCATTAAAGACAGGTGACACAAAGTGTCTACATTTATTCGATTATGTGTCCTTGGACATTGATCGGCTGTGTCAGGACTACTGGATATCATTAGAAATTACAATAAAGGCATTTGAATGATTACACGAAGTTATGGATTTAATGCAAAGAGGAAGTTTCGTTCTCAAGTCGAAGATTTGCTATCTCGTCTTCTTTATTACCTTGTGTCTACGTTTTTTGAATTCTAACAGGCCCTAAATTTGAGGAGGGCTCAAATGGGTAAGTTTTCACTCTGGGCATTTCAAAAATAAAGTATTTTGTCAAATTAAGCGAGCATTCCTAACAAAAATGATAAACAGGTATCGTCTGTTCAGACTTCTAATTTAATAAATAAATGCTACAGGTTACTATTTAGATAACGATCAATACTGAACGAAAAATCTTGATGGAATTCCTAAGATCGAATAGCCTTTGTTATCATTAGTACTAAAAACATTTAACAAACAACTTGCTAACTTACTGCTTTACTAAATATTTAAAGATTTATAGAGGCATACCAGTCAAAAATAATGGGGAATAATCACAAGTGCTTTATTTATTACCGAATGTTTGATTAAAGTAAAGAATTATCTGTACCAAATATATAACGCTGAAGCTAAACTCTTATCCATGTAGCTTTTGAATATTCAAAAAATATATAGAAAGTTCCTAAACAGTTTCTGGAAGGCGCTCATATCCATCCACAAGTATGTATGATCAGTCATGGTCCCATGAAATCTCTTTTCAGTGCACAATACGTTTGATGGGTGAATTGTATCATTTCTCCAAAGGACAGAGTAAGATAATATATCAACAATTGTGGAGGCTTTTTGAATTACTCTGTGATTAGGTTCTCTGCAGGTTTTAAAAATTTTATGAATGCGCGTAAGTGAACTCGGTGGTCGCACGTAATTAATTAATTAAGTCATATATATAGAAGAAACATTCATAGCAGTAAATGCATGACTGGAAAACATGTGGACCAGAAGTATGAGCAAACTACTAGGAAACTGTTGACATATGCTCGTGTTTTTAAGGTCTTATCGGCAAAACAGTTGAAAAGTTATATAAGCAGACAACCTCCAAAAATCCCAAGTCAACTTGTTGGGACCAGCAACTCGAAACTATACATTGAATTATTTGAGCCTTCAGTAAAATAGTAACGAACATCCAAATTGACCTTAATTTTTATCGCTCTGTGTATTTATTGAAACAGATGAACTGCGTATAATATTTTACTGCAATACAATTATCTAAATAACTGTGGTCGAGTAGTTCAAATGTTCTACACATTTAGAACTTATATACTCATAGAGATTACATATATTTTTAAACATTATTAAGATATACACCCATGGATAAATAACTCGAAAACTTACCAATTTAGCTGCAAGATACTTCGGATAATAAAATGTCTTTTCACTCCTGCCCATTTACCCAAAAAGTAGTCTGCAATGTTTGAATGGATTTTTCGTCTATGATTAATGTCAGATAGATAACAGTCTTGTGCTGCTTCAATAAACTGACGGTGATACCTAAATGGGAAATAACATATATTTCATAAATAATTGTATTTAATTAAATAAAATTAAACATTCCAAGTATATATTTCAGTAATAGTAAATGTGGTTTAACCAACTAGTCCTCCATACAATAGAATCAACTCGAAATACTGAGATAAAAATAAACAATGTTTCCGTGTGCTTTTGTTTAAATTGATAACACAAATACATCACTATTCAGAGTTTCTCAGACAACCCAAATGTCAATACTAAAACTATCTAGTTAGTTTTTTTTGGCAAGAAACTATGTAAAGGTTTATCAAAGTGACTTGAATCAAAGTATATCTGGATTGACAATTTAATTTACATATATTCACTCTCTGGATAGTAAGCAAATTACTGGGCCTTATTTTCAGGAATTATTAATCAATACTTTCAAAAATAGTAGTAGAACCCCAATATACACTTTTGTTGATGCATATGATAGAAATTCGATGAATTTTTACAATGAAAATCCGATTTTGTTCACTGATAGGTTTCAACATATGGTGAATTCAACCTAGTACTGTGAGTTTTAAATAATGTAGTGGAGTATCTCTTATTCTATGGGAGCCGACAGCCGGACTGAGTCATGTAGGTAGGTGGAGACTATCCGGTTAGGATTTGCATGATTATCCTAACCAGTGGTTGGAAATTTTGGATGACAGCAAAAAATCGACCGCAATGGTACAGATACATCCACTTCTCGTCATTCATGAAACCCTAAGTCCAAAAGTCATTTTTGATATTTTTCTGCTCACTTTATCTAGCCTTTTCCACTGTTCTGGGATTTGGCTTGATAGTTTCATGTCCCCATGGTAATGTCATGTACCAACTTGAACCGATACACATATGTCAAGTTCTAAGCCATATAACTAACTAGCAGAATCCTTTCAGCTATAAAGGACTAAAAAGATTGACATTGGTCATTATGAAGTGATCAATGATCTTGAAATATCCCTATCGTTAGCTTTTCACCGTTCTTTTCACTGAACATTTAAAATAAATGATCGAAAGTATTCTGAACTTAATAGGCTTTGTTTAAAATGAATAATTCATTAATGTAATAAAGAAATAAGAAGATAATCTTATTACTGCGTTCAGTGACTATTTTTTTATTCATCACTCTTTCACATCCTTTATATTATTGCCCTAACGATTAACCAACATTATTAGTACTTATTTGTTATGATTTAAGCATGAGAATACCATACATAAGCTTTTAATTTTTCCTGGTTAATTGTGTAGAAATATTTCTGTGTGAGGAGGAAGAGCAATATTATTACAGTAAGTATAAAATAAGCATAAAGAAGACTAAATTATAAAGTTGAGGAACGAGGATTAAAATCTTGGGTCTTAATAGTAAGAATATCCAGAGTAAAATAATTTTATCTTCACTGATGTGCCTACTTATTTAATACCATAAAAAGAACAATTAACTTCTGTCTATGTGGGGGGGGGGGCTGAAGAGATTCCATTAAAATTTAAAAATAATTTTTATCATTAACTGTCATTAGTTAGGAAACTACTGAAAACTAGTTAACATTCGACAACTATTTCTACATAGCTTGGCACTCACCAATACATGCTGCCAAACATACATGGGGTTGAACTGAAGAGCATTAAGTCTGAAAATAAATACGCAATAGTTATACGACTGGTTTGAGATCCATAGTCCTTTTTTTCAACTGAAAATAGTTGTAATATTAAAAAGTTCTTGAATATCACTGATAGAAAAATGTCTCACTCAAGACTTGCTTGTTTACACAGGTTCCAACTTCTCACTAGAACTTTTAACTCATCACAAAGTGTGAAATTAATTTCATTTTGTGATACAAAGACCCTTTCAGCTGGCAAACTCAGAGTATCACAAATCATATTGTGATATTTGATAGCTTGTTGGTATTCACGTGGACGAAGAGGAGGATATTTACTTTGTCCGATATATCGTTTCTCGCTATTAGAGTTTATTTTGTAGATAACGTTTGGCTCTTTTCTTTCATCATTTCATCCTCCGGTTTGGATATGACTGATTGAAGAAATTTCTCTGATGTATACGCTACATGTATTCCAAGAGACCACAATATTTATATAATTTTCTGTATATGATTCATGCATGCTAAGGCTATCTGTTTGTTGGTTTCTACACATGATTTCGTTTTTACAATGAGTCATGATCTTATTGATCCCAGTGGTGTTCCTTTCATCAGTTAGTGTATTTTATTAGTGAATTGAAGATGTGTTCATAGGTAAAAATTGATGAGTTCTAGTAAACCTTAACCTAAAAGCATTGTGTTTCTTGAGAGATTTATACCGCTGGAAAAAAGTGGAGATAAAGCGTTCGCTACTAACTTCGGTTCAATCGAAGGACACCAAGACTCAGTCGTTGTTGACTTGAATGTTCTTACTATTGTCCAAGAATCATATGGGATATTTGATGGAATAGTCGGATGAATTTATTAGAGATTCTGATGTAACGAACAACATACATTGTTGCAGGATTTCATGATCTACAGAGATAAGTTGATAGTCTTAGTATAAATGTGTAGATCATTTTCAAATGATAGACGATATAAATCTCCTTTCAAGAATTAATGTTAGGATGCGCGAAGATTTCAAACGTCAGTATAAGCCTATGATTGTTTGCTATTTCTCTTATTTTCTTTTCCGTTTTACTGAGGATTAAAAAAACAGGTTCAAAACTACCGAGTGTACGAAGTTAGCATTCAAAAAATCAACTATTTATGGTGTTTTCACTTGCATACAGGGATAATTTTTTTTGAACAAAGGTATAAATAGTCGTTTCATACATTCAATTAGTTAAGGTTCTTGATGAAGTAAATTATGGTATCTCATGATATGATTGTCAAGTACTTATGGGTATATAAAACCTACCATTTAAAAGTTAGCATACACTTTGGCACAAAGGCTTTTTAAATCCTTTACGCCCATAAAAATCTTTTAAATATACGTTGATACTGGAAATTTCTTGTTTACAAACTAAAATGCTGACAGATCATTGCAAAATAACAATGATGAACCCACCAAAATAAAACTACTATTCCATCAGCCTCACGTTCAGCCAAATTTGATCCCAATGCGTTTCGAAGTCTTGTCCAGACAAATGGAGGGGCTCGAACTTGCGGTGGCAAATGATGTTCAAAAACATCTCGAAGAACTTCATCGTCGAGAGACAACAAATCCACGATTTCTGCCTCACTTAAACCACGACGTGAAGCTGTGATATAGGATATTGCGTGAGAAGTCTGTGTGATAAGGTTACACAATATGTAAAGTCAAAACATAAGAAACAACGAAATTCGTTAAAAGCATTAAATATTCCTAAGAATTCCGGTAGTGTGATAAGAAGACGAAGATTATCAGAACTATGTTGTTCCGATAATCTCCGTTTTCTTATCATACTATCCAAATTTCCAAAATGGACTAATTACTTTTTATTTCTAAGAAGTGAATATTTACCACCACTTAATTCATTTATTTAAAACAGAATAATTGTTCAAAGCTTAAATTAAAAAATGAACAATACAGGACAATTTCGTCATCGCCTTCTTGAACGTTGTTTTTACTTACTTACTTATACCTGTTACTCCCAGTGGAGCATAGGCCGCCGACCAGCATTCTCTAACCCACTCTATCCCGGGCATTCCTTTCTAGTCCTATCCAATTGTTGTCTGTCTCCACTCCTCGGCGCAATGTATTATTTGGTCTTCCTCTTCTCCTTTGGAATTGAGGGTTCCAGGTGATGCTTTGCCTTGTGACACAATCGGGTGGTTTCCTTAATGTGTGTCCTATCCATTTCCAGCGCTTCTCCCGGGTTTCTTTCTTCGCTGGAATCTGGTTTGTTCTCTCCTACAGTAGGTTGTTGCTGATAAAGTCTAGTCAACGGATCCGAATTATTTTGCGTAGACAAATGTTAATAAACACTTGTATCTTCTGGATGATGGCTTTCGTAGTTCTCCAAGTTTAAGCCCCATACAGTAGATCTGTCTTGACATTTGTACTGGAAATTCTGACTTTGGTGTTAGTTGACAGTTGTTTTGAGTTCCAGATGCTCTTCGTTTGCAAATATGCAACTCTTGCTTTGCCAATCCGCACGAAATTTAATTTTGGTATCAATCAACTTTTTTAAATTTCTATACAAAGCTCCTCATGAACAAATGTATGCTAATTGTGTGTTCATGTCATCTCTCATAATGTTAATCGGTTTACTGCATATCAGATCACATATTTTAATAGTTTTCAAACTTGTTTAGATGAATTCAAAAAATACATCGTTTAGTCATATATCAGATCATGATTAAAATTAATTAAAATGAATCAAATAGTTTGACGTGGGAGTACGTTTGTCTTTAAATTCGCCAATATCTTGTGCGTTGTAGAGGGTGATAACATAACTATGTGTAACATAACCATACCGTGATACTAATGTTTAAATTACATATGAAATAGTCTAATAAAATCTTAACAAATTATCATAAGTAAAGACGGATAGTGGCTAACATTGGAATCCAGGACGAGCGTTTTGTCCTATTTAAGACTCGTCAACTAGATGTGCCAGCATCTCGGAGTCGATGTTGACTTGGGACACGAACCCAGAACCGTTCGCTTCAAATGCCATAGCGTTATGCACTTAGCTACTGAGTCCTGATAGCCACTTACACAGCATGCACATATGCCAATAAGAGACTAATTAATTGAAGTCCTAAACATCAATAAGACGATTCAAGCAAACAATGCCAAGTGAATTTAACAAATTATGTTTCATTGTAAATCAACAATAAATGATGTAAGAACAACTAATAGTTACCACGAAACTAAAGAATTATCTTAAAAAATATATTATTATTCAGATATTATGAAGAAAGGTATGAAATCATTTGAAATCGATTCGTCTTACCAATAATTTACCGTGTGTATGTTCTAATGATTCAAAGAATTGTACAATCGCTCCTCTAACTGTTAAAGCTAGTTCTAAATTAGGCCATTGTTTAACTGCTAATTCAACTTCTTCTTCTGTACAAGGTGTATTCGCATTAATTTGATCATCTGTATTTTTTAAAATATAATCAGGTTGATGCCATGATTTCCATTGACTTACCTAAAATAAAGTAATAAAGGAAGTTTGTTGGAATTAATGGACTTATGGCTTGGCAAACATATATCTTTCATAGAGGGGAAACTAATTAGTTTTGTCCTTGAACATTTAATGGAATCTAATCACCCAATTAATTTGAATATTGACTTCAAGATTATTTATGTAATTCATTTAAATCTACCAAGAATTTTACATATTCAGCTCCTTAAAACAATAGAAGCTCTTGCTATCCACGAAATAAAATCTGGGATTTGTGTACAAAAGAAGTACGTCTTATGTTTGTCTTTAACTTGACCCTATCTTTTTATTATTATTTTCATTGCTTCGATTTCGCATTCGAAAATGTCTGCCCTCTCTGATTATTTTTTATATTCCCATGATTTCGCTCACGGTTCCTGTAAAAGTTACATAACCGTCTGTTGTTACTATTTACACTATACGATCTAACATTAAAATCATTTTATAACATCATATTTGTTTGTCATTCATATTTGATAAACCATTCGTTGAAAAAAGGATCTTTTGACAGAATTTCGTATTTTCAGATATATACTTTCCTATAAATTCACTTAGTATTGTTTACTTGAAACTTCCCATTTGTTTTATGTTCGAGGTCATCATATCTGACTCCTATAATGGTTAATGTTTTGTTAAAAATTTGTGATATGATAATTAATAAATAACACGGTGATAGAACTGATCTAGTTAATGAATTTTACTAAATCAAATAAATTCGAAATTTAGAAAAATAATTATTTTTACATTGTAAAATCAACTCCAGTTTCTTTCAGATTAGAATACACAAAGTAGACAGTTAACACTATAATTAGTCAATGAAAAAGATCACCACAAAGTGTTGAACAACAGAATTTTATAAAACTTTTTTACAATAATTCTATGTTTTATTTTATGGAGTATGAACCATTAATCCTTTATAAAGTTGATGAATTTCAAAAACCGATAACACTTCCCTAACATCAATTTAAAACTTTATGATGGATTTAACTTCTGATTTAGTTTCATTCAGTAAAAATCAACGTGCAGTTGGTCCGCTTTACATTAAGTTTAACCAACCAGACAATATTTTTCTAATTCCTTATATATTTTTACAAATGAATGCATCTTAATAAGAATTAAAATGTATATCAGTTCCTAGTAATTATATTATTAAAAACGCAAGTTAACAAGGTTTAACTTACTACGCGTTCTACAAGAACAATAAATAATGTTAAATGACAATGTGACAGTGCTCTTTTAACTAATTTCCATTGAAATGGCTGTAAACACCTTCCATTAGAAGCTAATCTTGTTTTTAATAATTGTTCACACATACTATCATCAAGTACTTCAACTTCAATGAAATTTGGATAAGGTAAAGAATCTGGAACATTGTTTTCTAAATCATTTGAATTTTGTAGATGTATAGGCAAAGAAGATGAAGGATTATGAGACAGAAAATTTGATCGAAAATTATCTAATATCCCTCCAATATCTGGTAATGTTGAAATGATTAATTTGACATATCTAGGCAAAGGAACTCGTATCCAACCAAGAAAATATGCACCATCCGAAGGCTCAAGTTGATCAATGGCATCAAAGAAAATTAATACATGTCTTTGCATATTTGAAAGTTGAATTAATAGATCGTAAAATGTATTAAGAATAGACTGAAAAATAGAGCATTATACAATATGCATTCACTGATAGTTTTACAATAGTTGTTTAAATGATAAATTTTTTAACAGGAAGTAAGCTATCGCGAAAAAAACAGTATGGTTTCATACCTTCCAAGTAAATATAAAGAAGGAACTACTTTTTTAACAAAGCTGTCTTCTTAAAAAATCTTTTATGATATCTACTTAGTCATACTTCATACACATAATTCCCTTTATTATCTTAAAGAGAGCAAGAACGAAGATTAGTGCAGAATAATATAAGTTTATTTTATTTCGTTAGGTTCTCATCAGCTGCTTGCAGCCTAAAATGTTTGAAAATCAACATTACAGACATTGACATACTTATATATAATCTATCAATAATGAAGTTAAATCATATAGAAACAGGAGCTTACCCTCTAATGTATAGGTATGTCAATATCTTTAATAACATTAACTTTCAAATATTTTAGGTTGTAAGCAGCTGATGAGAACCTAACGAAATAAAATAAATTCATATTATTCTGCACTAATCTTCGGTCTTACTTAGTCATAGTTATACTCCATTTATATATATACCCCATACTTTTCACTTAAATCTGTTTTCTGTGTGAAAGATTTAATAAATAAAACTTCAACAGTTAATTATAGCATTAAAAAGTGCCGTCAACTGTTGGCGTTTTAGTAAGTATACACCTCACGATATATTACCGTATTCCTCTTGCCTGATAAAACCGTTTAGCAAGGATTGTTTCGTCAAGCAAATCTTAATGATTTTTGTATTGTCATATGGAATACGATTATGTAAGAAAATTAATGATCTATTGGTCAATTTAAGATTGAAACTTATGTGATCCAATAAGATGAAAATTTACTCATTAAAAATATTTGAATTGATGAGTTTATGAGCTATTTGATCTCCCATTCCCTTTCAGTGTTTAAATTAAGCTAGTTTTTATTTGTCATCTTGTTTGTTCTTGTGATCTCGTGTGAACTGTGAATTCCAGATAACAACAATATTTTGATAGGTTCATAATAATTACATTGTTATATTCAGAACAACAGACTATATATTTCTACCTGAAAATCATCTTGTGCTCGAATAACTTCCGGATCAATGAATGTAAATGTTTCTGAATTACTCATACTCCCAATACTATTAATATTTGCAACAAGTTGTCTGCAAGTATATTTCAATGTTTGACGTAATGTTGAGGTACCTGGACTTGTCCCTAAAAAACGTATTATTACAATGACTGAATCGATAGGATTAGGTAATATAGAATTATTTGGTACAAGATTTGGATTTGATTCTTTTTCTTCCAGGTTCGTTCTGTTATTTTTGGCATGTTTTGATCGAATACGGAATTGATTAAAGCTGTTAGTATGTTTTATGGAATTACTGATTTCATTTATCCAATCTCTTGCTGTTACTGCAAGTTTAGCCATTACAGATGTTTTCCCACTACCGGACTGACCATATATTACAAATGGATCTGAAATATGGAAAGGCGAAAGGATTAAAAATTGAGTAAATAACAATATTATTGTAATGTGGTGTTACTTTTGCATTAACAGAAACACTTACTAAGCCACAGTCAATTTAAGACTAATTACTTTTGAAAGCTAAGATGGTCTTTTACTAAAGTTAGGAATATACAGTCCATAATCAATTAAGCTGGAGATTATTTCTTCCAAAAACTAATCACATAGAAGAGTACAGTGGACTGCGAAAACAAACTTAAATGCAAGGGGTTGAATAGTAGTATCTATCTATGTAGACATTGTTCATTTCTATAAAATAGATTAGAGAATCTCGGATTTGAATTACGAATATGTGTAATTGTTACAACTCCCATTTATTACAGCAGTATTGACCTCTTTCTACATATTGAAACCAAAAGTACATAAATATTCCTTAGCTGTTGACATGCACATTGTTAACACTAAATGCATAACTCACAAATCAAACATAGACTCTAGTAATTGACTTAAAGCCACACTTTATGACCGATGAAAATTTTAACTATCAGAACCCTCAAATCGTATCATGTGAAGTAGTCGGCAATTCCGTGGCTGGATATAGGTAGTGAAAACAAATTGCGATTTATCTTTCTATACAAGATCAGCACATATTTTGACAAAAGTCACTGAAGTATGTGCTGGTGTTGTTTAGAAGGACAACAAACCTTCACGACTTTGTCATCTATCTCAGATAATACGATGCTTTCAAAATTCTCATCCGGTGCTAAAAATGTCCTCCATCAGATAATTAGGAAAATCTGTCAACGGTTGCAAGTTCTCTGTTTCAGTTTTCCAGTATTTAGCATTTCAATAAATCGTAAATCCTTTTCAATAGTGGGTGAACATACACAAATAGCATTCATATACATTCAGTTCAAACCATTAACGTTGATTGCATTTATAAAGTAAGTAGATTCAACGTTTGAACAGGCCGCTTAAACAACTCTACAATTAGACACTGTAGAAGTGAAGAAGCTGAGGTGGCTGTAAATATTGTATGGATCTACAATAATTATTCATCTACTTAGTGTAATGTGAGGTAAAATGTTAAGATAATTAAGTAACGATAAGAAATAACAGTCAACAGCTTTTATTTATACAAAAGATAAATGGGCGACACATTTATCATCTTTGAATAAATTATTGACCTCAACGTCTTCCTGGATAAAGGCAGTAATTTTCATCTTTCGATTAAATTTACACCCAAAACAGAGGTGAATTCGAAATGTTACTTCCTTGAAGTTCAATTAAAAAGAATACCAGATGGTTCATTATAAAGATCCATATGCAGAAAATCAGCATAGAATGGTTACTAGCTGAATTTTCAAAGTTGGGTTCTACTAAGCAGAAAGAGATTTCCAATTCACTTATTATCCTCGAGGAATCAAAGAGTATACTCTAAAGACACGATAAACAATCAACTATTGCAACCCAGCCAAATACCCATCGTAAATTTCTATCTGTTCAGGATTACTGAAAGAAACTTGAAAACAAAAGTATAACCTCAAAGAGCATCTATAGTTCAAAAGATAACTATCTTCATGAAAACTAAGTTTAAAAGGGATACTGAAGCAGAAATTCTGAAATATTTAAGAAGAATATATTATGCCTTTAAACTGTGTAATATCCCCTCCACCCGGCCTATCATTAATAGATGTGTCGAAGATAAAAGCCTTCTTTCGGCCAAGTCAGTGCTCACTCGTAAGTCTACTTACCCTTATGGAGCCAGTTATATCGACGCCACAAGGCAAACACTTTCTTAATACATCTCACAACATTACTTGAGGTAGCCGTTAAAAGGGGGAAAAAAACAGTTGACACCTCAATAAAGAAACATCTAAACTCTGGGTACATTGCCTCACAGAAATCTTCCATCAAAGTCATTTATAAAGTCCAACGAGTATGATAAAATGGACGCTAAGCCAAAAACTTATGCACAGCTGAAGCTTTAGTGATTCACCATTTCAAGTATGAACTCTGCGTGTGAAGTAATAAGTGTAATCTCTAATCATTGAGTGACCCTCACACAGTTTCGAGCATAGTTTTTGTCTTTTCGTCTCTACAGTTTACTTTGATTATTGACCAGTTATTATTATCCTACTACAATTTTTCATGGTTATTATTCAAGCGTTATTATCATCTGTATAGTTTTCCTTTCTTCTTCATACTTATCAAGTGGACAATCATCTCTCCTATTCCTGGCTCGCAAATGATTTTTATCTACCCTTTCTTTATTCACCTCTAGATCACTAAGCGACGCGTCTTTTGCTACTTTAAATCTCTAAACACTTTATGATTTAATTTCTAACTATACTTTCATAAACTTATCTATTTATTAAATCATTTTAAATACAATTATACAGCATAATTAAATGATATCGTCAAATTGAAAGTTTTTGTGCTGAGCTCCCTTTTCTTTTGTTGACAAATTAAGCCACAACTTCATCGATTTCAAATCTAAAATATACTAAGAAAATGTATGTTACTTGCTTAAAACTTTCTAGATGATAGAAATCAGTGACCGAATAAATGAAGTTACATTCCCTAAAGTTAAAAAATGGGGAATATACCTTGGTGTAAATGTTGATAAACAGTTTGAGATTCATTTATTGACTGATACTTTTTAATATCAAATTATATATTGGGTATTTGAATGACACCAATAGTGTTAATGAAATCTTCAGTTGTCAAATGAGTGTTTACATTAAATATTATGATTAAAATATACTGACTGTTATAATGACCTTACTTAAGAGTAAATGATCACACAAAAGTGGATTAAATAACACTACATTGTAAGCCTAATCTCGAACTTATTTGTAGAGAAAGATTTTTAATTAAGATATCATAGTGCAATAATATATCAGTTCTACTTAACACATCCCCATGTATAAACATTTAGACTGATTTTAGCCAAATCAAAATGATGACATAATACAAATATACCTTTACCATACCTAAGGAATCGCCCTGAATATATCGTTTTACAACTTCTAATACATCACTACGACCATGAAATTCTTGAACAAATTCATTACAATGATTTAAATGTTGCAAAACCTCTACATACAAGTCATCATTTTCAAAATTTGACATTTCTGAAACTGCTTTATCAATGAGTGAAATTGTTTTACTCTCAAAATCCATACCAAATTTTCGTAGATACAACGTGCCTGAAATATAAATACAAAACATATTTCTAATAAAATTAAGAAACAAACTATTGTAATTCTCTTTTACATATTTAAAGGATTTTAAAAATCTTAAAGAGACTTTCATTACATTTCAAGCTACAAAAAATTTAAACGAGAATATGAGGTGTCAAATACTAGAATGAAACAGTTGTGTTAGCGTTCTCTCGTTTTCAGTGGTTGTTTAGCTAGATTCGGTTCTTTATGAAAAGTATCGATAAAAATGACTAAATTTTTCTTAGAATTGTAAAGTACGATGGGATAAAAGGAAACTAAGTACACAGATAGAAAGCACAGTCGATAAGATTTTCTACATAGAATCTAATTCTAACCGTTCTAGAAAAACATTTAAGAAAGAAAATTATAAACTTGATATAAGTAACAATGGGTAACGTATGCAAACATGATAAATGAACACTTTAGAGAATACTAATTTTTACTGAGACAAATATGAGTAACAAGCATTACGCAGCATAATAAGTAATTGATTTATGATTGAAAAAGATAAAACAAACATTTTTAGTGTGAAATAAATCACAATATAGGTTTAAGTTACTAGTAGTAAAATATACTAAATATTGTATTCTAGCTAGAGGATTCTATAGTGAGGAAGTTACGCGGTTTTGTATTGCTATATACATCAGATTTTTGGATAACTTGGTAGATAATACATGTTAAAGAGGGATCACTTTAATTTCTTAATACTCTGATCAAAATTTTAAAACTATTGGAATGTATTAGCCAGGACTGAAATTCATTTTCTTTATTTCTTGTTGTGCTTGTTTCTTAATCCTAAAATAAATCTTGTCATACTGCTCAGATTAAGGATTAAAAGCACTAGAGTTTTTCCTTACACCATGGTCATATCTTGAAACCCATACCATCCTCGATACTACAGTATATTAACTCGTAATACTCATATAGATGTAAAAAAAATATAATATAGTCATGTTGGAGTATCGAACGAATATTCAGTATTTGTTTCCTTTGATCACTTTTTTGATTATTAGTCGTGTAATTTTAGTCCAAAATGACACTGATTATGGAATAAAATGTCTATGTATTGTCAACTAATAGTCGGGCGCTTCTTATTCTTTATTATAATAGTATTCTAACCTCAAACAAAATATATGAAATACACCTCACGCTTAAAAACATGAAATAAAAATGTGTACTTTTTCCAAGTAGTATATGAATATCATAAGTTTCTGAGTACGTATTAAATCAATGTAGTGTAGACTACCATACAAGTTGAATCAAATAAATCTTTGGTAAAGTAATAGTTTCCTTCTAAAAAAACTTATTCACTGTGTTTTTAAAAATTATTTTCACTGTTCTTGGAATAATCACGTATCCCATTATCAAATATCTTCACCTAATCAGCTTATTACCCTATCTGGGTATTAAAAGAAAAATGTTAGTCAATCAATGGCTCGGCTTTTGGAACATTATGTCAATTCTGTCCATAAAGTTCAAGCAAAATCACCTTTCAAAATCACTATATGTTCAAACAAAACGTTTCATTTATGGTACAAATAAAAATTACCATTATTGTGATGATTAACATTTCCTCGGTTCAAGCTTGAATTCTGTGCATATAAACATTAAATTTAAACTGTTAACCTAACTCTGTTAGTTTTTCACGCCTAATAGTCGATTGTAATTACTAGCTTTTAATTTCTTATAATTATTAACTTGTCACTATTGTCTTCAAGTTTTCTTTCCTTTTTCATATTTGTCAAGTGAACACTTAACTTTTCTACTTCACATCCATAAACTAAAATCATTTTGCTAAATTTCACTGATCTTTGAAGTCATTATTCAACTTCCTTCAAATTTTCTTTTTTGAATTATCTTTATTTTTCATTCGTTATCTATTAACAGTATACCGGACATGTTATAAAATAACACTTCATTCTATCCCACCAGTTATCTCAACATGAAGTTGCAATTCTCATAAGAAGGTGTACAGAAATTAAAGCCGTAAATGATGAACCAAAGGAATGATATGCTAATCTTTTGACAAACTAACGTTCTAAACCATCATTTTCGATCGCTGACCATGGTATTTCATAATTGCGGATATTGTTCTCTTTTAAAACAGCAGCTAAAGTAATATTTCTTAAACAGTTTATCTGTTCAAAACGCGTTTCGTCTAATGTTCCATTGTGATTCATGTCTAGAAATCTGTCGAAAGAAAACAAAGAAAATGTCGGATAGTAGTATTTCATGAAGGTTATCATCAAACTAATGAGATATTCTAAAATCACTAAACTGAAAAATGGTCTACATTAAATCAGTGAACTATCTGTAGATGGATCTCTACAGGCTTAAGTGAATGTTTATTCTCTTTTTAAGTATGTTTTGCATTCCACCACTGATATTATTCATTCTCTTTAAACAAAAAACACATTTAATCCTCAGATATGTGGTTGTTTTTGAAAAGATGTTCAGGCTGTGAGTATAATATTCTTTCAACCTATTGAAGTTATTGATAATGTTGAACATATTCATCAATTGGGATTTATGCTAAATAGGTTCAGTCACTGTTTATCTAAATTTGACAGACAGATTGATGCATGAATAAGCTGAAAGAATATAAATATTGCCTATATCCAGATACTGCATTAGTGTATTAATACACCGATTGTTGATCTGATTTGATTAGGTAAACTACGGCTTCTTAATTTGAGTCAGACACATAACCACATTCTGTGGTAACATGACTCACAATCAGTATCATTGGAGCATATGAATTTATTTTGTGTCTTAAAGATACTAATATTATCTACTTTTTCCCATCTGATTCTGCTTTTTTCGTTTAACCATTTTTTCCCTTTGTTTGGATTTAAATTATTGTTGGCGTTATTATGTCCTCTTATATTATTTTTTGTTAATTTCCCCTTGTTTAACCAATATAAGTTTTAAAAACTCCAACCGATATATACTTATGGCACATTTCACATTGTTCAAAGCTGTTTTATTTATTTTTAGCAGGTAGCCAGGAATTGTCGAATTAACTAAGTGGTGAGTAAGGATAAATATTCCTGGACGACAGAAAATTACATTCACAGTCCATAAGTAGTTTGCAAAAGCTAAAAATGAGGACCATTAAATTTTAAGTTATTGGTCGACTGATGTCTTACTCATCATAATACCAGAAAATTTGCCGTCTGATAAAGTTTTCGACGTAAACTATTGCAGACGTTTTGCAGATACAAAATAACTGTTGAGTGCTATCTGAATTCGGATAGATATTTGGTTGATATTATGTCATGATAAAAGCTATCTTAGAAATATATTTTTACATCAGGAAAGTCATAGTTACTTGTTTGCTTGTTTACTTTGCAAAACTTCATCAATTTCTTTGATAGTCCTTGTAAATGCTGCGCATTTTCGCTTATCTGAATCATCTGCATTAAGTATACCCAGTATTATTTCATGTTCGGTAACTGAATAACGAAAAGCAAAGCAAATAGTTTTACATACAATTACACAAGTAACTAGGCACTAAAACTTGATAAATAGCATGTATTACAAACTATTACAACTGGCTTCGTCAGATAACCGCATTAGCTGATTGAAGAATATAGGTGACATACATAAACAAAGAAAACGCTTTCATTTTGCATTTTCTCCATAACTTCCTTGGCCATTTCCATATTTTCAAATGTTTGAGCATATACAAGCCAAATAGATGAACAAACGAATAAAAAAGGAAGATTCTAACCATACTAATAGAATATTTGAAGTACGATTGAGTATAATTGAGACTTTCTTTTGAACTTCATAAGGCTTTGCATATTTTGATGCAGCAGTGGTTGTACATATGTGTTGTCAATAGGAAACATTTCAGTAGCTTACGTCTTAAATTCTGGTATTCCGCCTAATAAGTGGGCCAGATCTTGTTTAGCTTTTTATTTTCGAATTATAAGAAACAGTACAGTTAAGAGAGAGGAAAACTTCGATGTATTTACGACCAAGTTGAAAGCAATCACTTATAAAAGTTGGAAAGTAAATGACCATTTATATATTTTGTAAAAATGACGTGTTTTATGAAATCAAAGTCCTCAAAGGTTAAATTAAAAAGGGATATAAAACATACAAGCGTAAAATTTGAAATTTTCAATCTAAGGGTAGTCCCTAGAAACTGAAAATCCATTTATTAATCGCAATTATCTAAACTCTACCAGATTTCTTTCCAGTAAGACCAATTTTAACTTGAGGGACGCAATTGTTGCTGTTTTAACTTTTCACCACGGAACATACTAGTAGAATAAGTCTCTCAACAAAAGTTTTGATTTTGCATATCAGTAACAAATGAACATTCAAGACTCTAACAGTTTATTTGATGCATTTGAAACTGATTAAAACCTGATCAAGTGCCACCAGAAAGGGGCAAAAATTTATTACAAAAATAAGTTTTTTGAGTTTCAGCATTAATGCACTAGAAATTTGGTCTTCACTAACATAAATGTTACGCAGCTAACAGATGTAGAGGATGTGTAAACAAAATCACTACGATAAAAAAGTTAATTGTACCTGAAAGAGAGTATTTTATTGCCTCTTGACTTGATATCAACCCCTGTTCGGTCAACACTGGAATTATTTTATTAATACCAAGATGCATAGCTTTACGATCATCATACCACCGTTGTTTTGCATCTTCTACAAATCGATTATCTCCCTAGGCAATAAAAAAAATTGTATATTGTATTGAGTAAAACAAAAGCCATGCAAAACTTTTTAAATTTAATTATCAAATAAGCTTAGCATAATATAGATTATGAAATCATATATTTAGAACACTTCTTTATGTTAAATTAAGTGTTTTTAGTTGTAACGCACTTATTTTACTTCCTTATAATTCTAAACTCATGATTAATAACTATGAAAAATGAAGGTTTTGTTTTACTCCCACCAGTAATGAGATTTGCTACGTCCTTATTTAAAGACCTGACTCCAAATACTGATTAAAATGCTAGAATTAGATATTCTATTCCAATCCAACGGAATAATCTCATTTTAGCATATATCGCGAACGTAGGATGACTTTTATTTATGTAATACTTATGTACGTACATGACTGCAAAGCTAGTCTTGTCGGTATATCATCTTAATTTAGGTCACAATTTTTCAGTTTTTTCGGTAAAACTTATAATGGGGAGTTTTATTCCAAGCATGTTCAAATCTACTAGAGCGCACGAAAATCAAACCAATGTCTGAAAAGTTAACATAATGGTGACATCCAACTACCAAATATTTCCGGTATTTGTTGGCACAGAAATTGATATTAACAAGCTACATTACTTCTACGTATATGAAGTCGTATTTTCCATTATACAACGGTAAAATACAATACTGAGGTACCTTAAAAAAATCATGGACAGATTTTTGTCAATTTTGATTACAACAAGTTTTGTTAAGCCGTATAACTTTATCATTTTTCTACATCCCGGCGAAACACATCAGCTATGATACCATTTAACGTATTTCAATGTTTTGATGAAAAAATGTCCCCTTACCAGCTGAAATGCTTCCACTATTGGCTTTAAATGGTAAGCCTGATTTATATCATTTTTGTCACACAAATACCATTCTTCAAACGCTTCAAAACACTTAGGAGATACTCCTTGAATCTTTTTTGACCAGTCTTTTAGAAGTTCCATCTCATATGAGTTGATCGTAAATGGAATCTCATATTCTCCATAACGCTGACCAAGTACAGTCTAAAGGGTTTTGATATGTTTGTTTTTCTATAATTTAACTCACGATAAAAGTTGGACCGATTGAAAGAAACTTGCAATGTTCAACTTCATCATAGCATGTTTTTGGACCAAGATGATCTAGCTGAGTAACATTTGGCACACCCCAGCGCATGTCGATAGCCTGCAAAAGAATTAAAACAAAAGTCAGACTGTAAGTGACAATGCCGAAGATTTGACTTGATAATCTCAATTTGGTTAGTTATGCTCTGGGGAATTGATCTACACTAAGTTATGAAATGTCAATAATTCAATATTCAACTAACTAGGATATTACTAGTATATTGCCTAATTATTATAACTGAATGAGAGATCAAACTGACAGTTCAAAATGTCCTTGTGTTTATTATTAGAGGCGAAAAAGTTTCACAAGGATTTATATTCACTTTCTTGGATTAATAGTTCTGGTTTTGGGTACATTAACTCAAAAGACGTGAACTTGAGACTAACACCTCAGAAATATGCTCTGTGAAGTCAGAATAAACACTGAAGCCCTATATTACAAATGTGCAATTTGCCAAAAGTTTGTATAATTAGTCTATTATTAGGATACTGGATATATTTTGCCCGTTACCGACAAGATGTGGAGAGAATTCCTAGTGAGTATATAAATTGATATCGTACATTTCGGTAATAAACACTCAGAAGCATGAGTAAAAAACCACCCAGAAAATAGGCAAAAGGTAAAAAACCTTTAAAATTTGACAGGCGATCAACCCATAAATAATAAGGAGAGGTGATATATGAAAACCATTTCTTCTTTGTCCTCATAATCTGAGCTTATGTGATGTATTTACTCTCTCCTATCATGCATAACCAAATTACCCAGACACTAAGGTTTTACTTATCAAAAATACATTAACAGCTCATAAACAAACTCACGTAAAAATCAAAACCATACTTCTCACGGCAGTAAACTTTGAGTTTTGGATATATGTACTTCATCAATACATTTCTCTCTAAGTTTAAGTCTTTCATAACGTAAAGGGTAAAATTTTATTGTTCCTACCAGAAAACGTCGAGCTGATGAAGATACGAACAGATTTGCTGTTCATTCGTGGTAAATTAGAGAAGTTTCCAGACATAACGAAATCATATGAAGATTTAGATTTTTCAAAACCTCTTATTGCAAATTTCGATTTCAACCTCTGCCACGGCTTTGGCTTTGATGACCTCCTGCGGTTGATAATCTGACTTGCGATGGTTTCGAAATCCATGATAAGAGTTGGATGATTTTTTCTGACTGATAATTATTTATTTACAGTCAGGGTAATGAAATGACTGTATAAAACCGATTCAGTATATGAAATAAAGACAGAAGAAGTGAAATAGTATGAAAAACACTAAGTCAAATGATTTGAAAAAGCTGAAAATAAAATCAAGTATGGTTTATATCAGTGAATGATAACTACAAAATGAACGTTTTGAATACGTGCGCTCTCGAATCTTAGCATTTATAATTATGGTATTGATACTAACAAAATTGCTTAGTATCTGTTGCAGGTATACGATTCTGTTGAACAGCTACCATTATGCGAATTTTATAATCAGTAAACTAATCAGGTTGGTTGAGTAATGAATTCTGAAAGATGAGTAATGTGAATAGTTGTAAGTTGGATACATATGACATGCTGAGCTTACTTATAGAGTATTGATAATTCACTGATACCCTCAAGTCCCTGTCTTTATTTATACATGTCTGTTAACAAATTGCAAGGCAGGAACTCAAATTTTTCTAAATATTTGCATGAGTTTCGCTCACCCTTGAATAAAGCATTGAGTTTTCACGTAAAATAATTTCATGGATTCATGAACTACTGGATAAAATGAAGTTACAAATGGAGTGAAAGAAGCTTTCATCTTAGAGCTTACGTGTCTGGTATGAGTAGATTTTCAATGCCTTCAGATAGCAATCTATATTTATGAAACAAGGAATGAGGGAAAAATCTGAAAATTACTACAGCATGCTTTTCTGATTCCTATAAAGCTATATGTAGGGTCAGATAAGTGTCACTATACCCTAGCCAAATCATTCGGATGTCGGGTCACTGAATACTAAACAGCCCATCGACCTCTGCATAGCCAAAGGACGACTAATGAGCATCAGTTAGTTGCACGCGTTGAGCTGGCCCACATGATTACGGTTGAGCTCTGATCCTTGTGCATTTTCTTTTTGAAACATTTTCATGATAACATCGTTTGTGTGATACGGTCACTAAAGTTGTCATAGTACTTGAATACAAAGAAAGAATAATCAACATTAGGTACTAACCGTTAGGTATGACTTTGAGGTTAGCTGATTGGTCATGTCATTCCCGTCACTTTCGAGTAGGCCCCGAATCATTCGACGTAGATCATCTTCGTTTGTGGCCGATATGCGCAAAGCTTCATCCTTAAGTATAGCTGGCGATTCACTTCGGTATTTCCAATTATCAGGCATTTCTCCCAAAGTTCGTTCTGAATGTGAACTCAAGAATATCTTCTGGAGTAGGTACTAGAGTGATAAGGATGCCAGTAAACACTACACTCATATAAGGATTTTTTAAAAATTATTTTCACTTTTAAAGCAATAGAAATTGAGAATGTAGTCAGTTAGCTATAGAACAATAAAAACGACACGAAAAGGAATCATCTCAGATAACGTCTTACATGCAAGTATTTCTGAAACTTTAGAGTTCTTCCACAGTGCGAAGTCTTTCATTGACTGTTCCCTGTCAGGCGTTGAAACTTATTCGTTGAGTTGTGCCGTTTCATTGTCAGAAGATAGAGTCGAGAGAGATGGGCTATCCGGTCTTCAATCGGTTAATATTGATGATAACGTATTTTAATTTCTTATCAAGGGTATAGCGATTTGGTACACAATGAAGGAATTCACGGAGGAAGTCTGTCCTCAACCCCAACGCGTCGCTTTAATTAGTTCCAAAGTACAAATCATCAGCCTTCCACAGTGCTGAATGTACTTCACGGCACAATACAAAATAATGATTTCCGTACTTAGATTCAGTATCTAAAAAACATTTTGAGTGTTTCTCTTATCCATTGTTGCAAGACTCCATTGAATCACTTTCTACTCCTGTATTAGTACTACTACTAATAATATACCTAGTCCGAAGATTGTGGATTTGTCCTGTTCTGATTGTCTAATCTGTAAGATCCGAAGAACATATTTGGGCTAGGGATAAAGTAATTTGTTTTATACGAAGAACAAGTGGTAAAAAAACTGTGCCCTCATAACCGAACTATGACATACTGATCAATTGTTCCTGAGTTAACCATTGCCAATCTCCTCCAAGTGACACATACTGAATGTCAATTTTCTCATCAATTATATGCCCAGCTTTGAGAAACATGTGGTTAGGGACCAATTCCACTACTACTCCGATTTCTACGTGTAATGCGTTTAAGTTTTACTAATGCGTGTTTTATTGTCATGTTGTGTAAATATAATTGGCTTAGTAATACCGCTCTTCACTTTGGAGAATGCTTTCTTCCAGCTGTTTTACTCTCTTGTTAATTAGTTGATTTCTTCATATGGCTAGAATCAAATTACGATGATTGCCTTCCATAAGCTTTTTTGTGCCTGTAAGCCGATCTGAATACTATACTTTGCGTGTATATAACTCTATGATGGGAGCTGCTTTGTTATTCCAGGTAATCCAGTATAATCAGTTGACTAGAATAATCTTATCTCAACGATCAGTAGCAAAATAGATATGAAGAAGTTGAGGATCGAAGTGACCAGGGATAATGCATTCCAACCCTGTTAGTTAACAAACAAATTATCGGCGAAGTGTTGAGCTGTATGTTGTATTGACAGTGTAGAATATGGTGTGTGAATCCACTTGGCCTTCAGGTTCAAGAGCTGATTGATGACGGCATTTAAAAAACCAAAGGTATAGAACGACAAATGAATAAGGAGACGCGTTGTTCTATTGGTTCGCAACCGCACGACCTTTGAAGTTGGAAATATAATTACTGAGGTCTACATTTGCCATGTAATCCTTGGAGCAGGTCAAAAATTACATAGCTGATTGTCACAGTACGTCAAGTCAGTTTAAGCAGTGATGTGTCTTTCACCTAGGATTTTATAGATTAGGTGGTCACAGAATAACAACTACAATTTTAGAATTTGGTCTATAATCATAGTAGCAAAGATAAATGCACCTATACCAGACTAGACCTACAGGTGGACACATATTCTTAAGTGAATAAAATGCAAATAGGCAAAATTCGGGAAAATATATGATAAGAAAAGATAAACATAAGACTGAATACTCTGCATCAAAAACATAAGGCTGCCAAATTCTGTGAGCCAGCAGTTCTGGTACTCAGGTGAGATTTTAAATCTGCATCTAAGAGTTTCCACTGCCCTTATAAACAAGTTCTGGCAGATTGTAATAGTTCTCGTATCCTGGTAACCTGGTGGTTTCAGATTGGATTACACTAAAGACTTGGTGAAACCAACTTGAGGAAAAACAACTAGCTAGCTAGTGGTGGGATAGAATGGCTGGACGGAGATCTGTGTGGTACAAGCATTTTCTACATCGAGGTTCGTTACTGAATGGCTAACTTCTGAGGCAATAAATACAGTAAATTATTCACTTCTGATACTTCTGAGGTCTCATCTTCCTGAATGCTTATTCACTTATTATGAGGAATGATAATAAAAGTTTAGTGGACATGAAAATCGACGCAGATCTTGTTGTGGCTAGACCCTCATGTTTAGTATATGACAGTGAATTTATGTCAAGTGTGAGAAAAAACACCAATTCTAACTAAAGTAGCATGTAATAGTATCAAGATAGGGACAAATACAAATAAGCGAATGATACTTTTAAGAAATGTATGTAAGAAATGTACAAACGACTGAATGATGGAAGAAGAGTGATGAGAACACACATCAAACGTGACACTATTGAAACAGATTAATCCAAAGAGCAGAAAAAACGTAAAAGCTACGGTTGAACTAATAAATTTAAAGGAGCAGAAAGAAGATAATTGGAAAGGCATAAAAAAACACATCGAGAAGCTCTTGTTAGACCTAGCCACGATCACAACAAGTAGAAGTAGGAAAGCCAACAGCCAACAAATGCCATGTTGTAGGCCGCCAGTTAGTGAAGTCTTCTGTTCTATATGTTCTACTGGAAATATAGTTCGGAGTACAAACCACGAAGACGATTATACAGCTGATGTTACGGTTGGGTACAGTTGTGAGACTAGTAAAGAATATAATCTACTTTTCACTTTCTGCAGAAACCGAAATAAGGGAATTATTACAAACTGCAATCGTTTGCACGCCGTAATATTTGTTCAAGAATGACGGTAATTAACTATAAGTGCAAGCCGAAAATGACAATAATTAATACTGTTGCCACTGTTGGATATTCTTTCCTTAACTGTGAACGAACCAGGAAGTATGTAAATGCGAGGGGCGATATCTTGCACGAGTTATTGAAATGAGTGGATTTAGCACCGAAGAATAGGTCTTTTGCCCCTGTTGCCTTCTGATTTCTATCTGTGTCATATTGGTTATCGGAGTAAGGATGATGTTTTTCTGATCGTTGAGTATTTTGTTGCTCTTTCCAGCACCTGGGTAGAGCTCACAATTTCGAATAGATGTTTGTTTGGTAAACGACACCTAATCAGTCTCGTGTAATCCGCCTTATCTAAACTTTTTAACCTGAAACAGAAACTTAATGCTAAGCCTTATCTTCACATGTCACCATGATGATTCTATAAACTTTAAATTCTTATAACCTTTCGCAAACAAAACACACCGCATTGTACTTCAAGCTCAGAACTTATGAACTAACCTACAAATCTACTTTTCTTCCGAATGTATGGCGCGCGAATTTTCTGATAATAAGGGATGAAGTTATCTCCACAAACCAGACAATTGTTGCAGATCAGTAGGCCAAATAAGAGTAAAATGAACTAAATATCACATCGGAAGTGAGAGATTTTTACATACTACGGCTGATACTTTACACGCTGTCTCATGTCCTTCCGTTAGGCGATGAAGTTATATCGGACGGAATGTTTCTCATTACAGATCTTTGGTAGTTGTTCCTCACTGAAGGTGTTGCGGCACTTAGGCCTAAGGTCAAGAACAAATACAAGACCACTATGTCCATGGCTAAATACCAAGCACTTAAATATCTCTAAGTTATTGGAAGGGGAGGGACCTTCGAAGTAATTGCGTGGGTCTGTGAACGAGCTAAATTCCACTAATTCACTCTCTCCTACATCAATGACTGAACCAGGCTTTCCGAGTATTGGTACAACATTATCCAGCTGAA